AAAACTAAGGATCCGCCAACCAAAAAAAAATACAACAGTGCTATGTGTTGGTTATTCCACATGTTAAATTAAGAAGAACCATAGAATAAACAAGTACTGCAGAACCCTGATATTAACCTTGTTTCTTCCCAAAACTCTATGATAAGTTCCTATGTCTACGAACAAGATATACCTGAGTTTTACTTGTGAAAAAGTCATTAAGGAAAGGATAGTCCTTGTTCTATGAAAAGTAAAGGATTACTTACAGCTTGAATATAGATCTCATTTGTACAAGTGCACAGTATTTCTGACCATCAGCATTTTAAAGAGTGTTTCATTTGATTTTTTAGTCATTGGTATCTGTATGTATTACCAGTGGACATCTAATAGAATTTTCTATTACTTATACAGTTATTTTTAATGATATCTCTTATATGTCTGTGACATTGATAGTAAATTCAAGGTACTGGAAGAATAATGTAGTCAATAAATGGAAAGGTTTAAAAATATGTTAAGACATATCCACATCCTTATAGGAAATCTGAAGTTTTAACGTCTTATCTTCCAAGAGTCTGATTATTCATTGCACAGTTTTAAATTCCTTTAACCGCACTTATATTATGCTGAGGCTTCAAACTGGTTTCAACATGCATGTCACATTTGTTAGTGAATCATATATTACATATGCATACACATTGTGTGAACTTTACTTACTGGTATACTCCTGGATGCAAAAGTATTACTGACAAATGATCTCTCTCTGGGAAATCCTTTCCTTCTGAAGGAATATTACATCGTTCAAAAATAACCTGACCTTAAGAATAAGCTTATTTGTTTAAGGTATGAGATCATACAGCATTCAGCAGGGCCAAATAAAAAATAATGGAAAGACGTAAGTTCATGTAATGCAAAATGATGGGTTGATTCCACGACACTCCCTATAATTAGCTTTATAAAACACTGTGTCAATTCAGTTCCTTCATAACTAATAACCTAATTTTACCTTCTGCAGAATATCAAGGCAGGCACCACCATGGCAAAGACTGCTTCTGGCTTTGGCAGTTGGTCTGGCTCATTCTCTTAATGAGGTAAATAAATTTCGTCTAGCATGTCTGAGGTTCGTCAATAGCAAATGAGGCCAAACCATGAGCAATTCCCCAAGGTCCCAGGTCTAAAATGCTTTGTTAATTGAGTCATCATAGTACCCTGTGTTATTCTACTTACCTAAAATTATAATCATGTACTAATGAAAATATTATTGATTCATATTTCCAGTAATTTTACTTATTTCCAAGGACTGGGATCAGAGAAGCAAATACCACTTTCCACCCAATGCCTGCGCTTATATTCTCTTTGTCTTTGTTGTTTTTACAGCTTGAAGGAGACTGGGTTAGCATTGCCATAGCTGCTGACAATGTTGAGAAGATAGAGAACCAGGGAACTATGAGACTTTATGCTCGTCAAATTACTTGTCATGAGGAATGTGATAAATTGGAAATCACATTTTATGTAAAGTAAGCAAATGGTCAACCATGCAACCTGAGCAGAATATTTGCATTTCTCAGTATTTATGATTAGAAATTTACAGGAAAATGTTCTGTTTCTGATCAAAATCTTTAAGGCCTCATCTTTAAGAATGTGATTATATTATTTCATGATATGGTTACTTTTAGACACCACATATAGGTTAGTCACTGTCTCCAATTCCATGGGTGTTTCTTAGAAATCTTTGTAATTGGAAACCCATGTTTGAATTTTATGCTCTGATATTATGTGCAGGAGATACTATGTATATCATTTCTAGTAAGCCGGAAGGTATATATGAGCATTTGAGTCAAAACCATACATGCTGTATTATTCAATCTGTGGTGTGATCAAAAAGATTCCACAAACAGGTCAGATAAATGCAGTTTGCTAACTCCTTTCTCAGATTCCCTTTGACATTGGGATGAAAATGTTTAAGGAAATAGGGCATAACACCATTATGAAGAAAAGTGATTAGATCATTGTTTTTTTAC